GCTTAGCCGTGTGTTAATATACTTTCTACTACGCTTAGCCGTTCGCCTGCTTCGTGATAGAGTCAACTAAAACTAGAAGTTACTATCGCAGGGCAAGTGCCGCGTTAAATCCTTGCGAAATTAGACAATATGGAATGATTAACTTAATCTTTTCGAGCCAGTTTCAACATGACAATATTTTCTTATACTTGTAAACGGATTTTGCACATAGAGGTATAAAAAGAATAAAAAATAGTCAGAATAAATAAAGGGAAAAAAATATTGTGAGGCTGCTACAAAACATGAGTGCAACTGGATTTGAACTCAAATGCTTATCGAGACAGGCTAAACGACATACCACTAAGCCATCAGTGGCCAATTTGCAAATCTGGTAAAATTAAAAACACAAGTACATTGTTGTGACCTGCTCATCTAATGAGGTGAATCTCATTTCGGCCAAAATGAGAAAAAAATTGTTATAGACCGACAGAGAAAGGTTCAAAACGGATATTGCTGCAGAAAGTTTTGGCACAGGGGAATTTTAATGCGCATTTATAAATAAATAATGCTTAGCCGTGCTTTAATATACTTTCTACTACGCTTAGCCGTTCGCCAGCTTTGTGGATCGACGCGGATCGTGTCAATTAAAACTAGAAGTTACCATCGCAAGGCAAGTGCTGCCTTTTAAACCAAAGTGAAATTTAGAAAATTTCGGGCCACTTTTCGGTTTAGATCGACTTAGAAATGTTCAAAACACTTATTGATGCAAAAAGTTTTGGTACAGGGATATTTTAATGCGTATTTTGATATAAAAAATGCTTAGCCGTCCTTAGCCGTGTTTTAATATACTTTCTACTAGCTTAGCCGTTCGCCGGCTTCGTGCATCGACACAACTATAAACTAGAAGTTGCTATCGCAAGGCAATATTTTCTTTGACAATATAGAATCATTAGCTTTATCTTTTCGAGCCAGGTTCAACATGGCAATATTTTCTTATACTTGTAAACGGATTTTGCACATAGAGATATAAAAAGAATAAAAAATAGTCAGAACAAATACAGGGAAAAAAATATTGTGAGTCTGCCACAAAACATGAGTTTAACTGGATTTGAACTCAAACGTTTATCTAGACAGGCCAAATCACATACCACTAAGCCATCAGTGGACGACTTGTAATTCGGGTAAAATTAAAAACACAAGTACGTTGTTGTGACCTGCTCATCTCATGAGGTGAATCTCTTTTCGGGCAAAATCAATATTCAAAATATGAGTTTTCAGCTGTTTGGAGGAGCGATTCACAGACTTTTTTTGAAAAATAATGGCAAAAAGAAATAAAGTAAAAATTATACGAAAGTTTTACCTGGGAACGGTCCACAACTTTCGCTCATGATGGCCACAGTCTTTACCACTATACCATGAAGGCAATGACGTAAACAGCTAAAAAATTGCAGTACTTGAATACTCGCTGTTCTGCGTTATACTAGCCGTATGTAGATATTTTCGATTTCATCCTACAGAAGAATTCCCTTCAGCGCTCTTCATCCTTGTTCATCTCTCGTCATCCTTGGTTAAATCGACTCAGAATTGTTCTAATATACAAAAAAAATTCAAAATATGAGTTTTCAGCTGTTTGGAGGAGCGATTCAGAGACTTTTTTGGAAAAACAATGGCAAAAAGAAATAAAGAAAAAATTATACGAAAGTTTTACCTGGGAGCGGTACACAACTTTCGCTCATGATGGCCACAGTCTTTACCACTATACCATGAAGGCAATGATGTAAACAGCTAAAAAATTGCAGTACTTGAATACTCGCTGTTTTGCGTTATACAATAGCCGTTTGTAGATATTTTCGATTTCACCCTACAGAAGAATTCTCTTCAGAGCTCTTCATCCTTGTTAATCTCTCGTCATCCTTGGTTAAATCGACTCAGAATTGTTCTAATATACAAAAAATTCTCAAAATATGAGTTTTCAGCTGTTTGGAGGAGCGATTCAAAGACTTTTTTGAAAAATAACGGCAAAAAGAAATAAAGAAAAAATTATACGAAAGTTTTACCTGGGAACGGTCCACAACTTTCGCTCATGATGGCCACAGTCTTTACCACTATACCATGAAGGCAATGATGTAAACAGCTAAAAAATTGCAGTACTTGAATACTCGCTGTTTTGCGTTATACTAGCCGTATGTAGATATTTTCGATTTCACCCTACAGAAGAATTCTCTTCAGAGCTCTTCATCCTTGTTCATCTCTCGTCATCCTTGGTTAAATCGACTCAGAATTGTTCTAATATACAAAAAATTCTCAAAATATGAGTTTTCAGCTGTTTGGAGGAGCGATTTAGAGACTTTTTGGAAAAATAATGGCAAAAAGAAATAAAGAAAAAATTATACGAAAACTTTCGAGAGTTTTACATGGGAACAGTCCACAACTTTCTCTCATGATTGCCTCAGTCTTTACCACTATACTATGAAGCAACGATGTAAACAGCTAAAAAATTGCAGTACTTCTATACTCGCTGTTTTGCGTTATACTATCCGTATGTAGATTTTTTCGATTTCACCCTACAGAAGAATTCTCTTCAGAGCTCTTCATCCTTGTTCATCCCTCGTCATCCTTGGTTAAATCGACTAAGAATTGTCCTAATATACAAAAAAATTCTCAAAATACAAGTATTCAGCTGTTTGGAGGAGCGATATAGAGACTTTCCTTGAAAAATAATGGCAAAAAGAATAAGGAAAAAATTATGCGAAAATTTTCGAGAGTTTTACCTGGGAACGGTCCACAACTTTCGCTCATGATGGCCGCAGTCTTTACCACTATACTATGAAGCAACGATGTAAACAGCTAAAAAATTGCAGTACTTCTATACTCGCTGTTTTGCGTTATACTAGCCGTATGTAGATTTTTTCGATTTCACCCTACAGAAGAATTCTCTTCAGAGCTCTTCATCCTTGTTCATCTCTCGTCATCCTTTGTTAAATCGACTAAGAATTGTCCTAATATACAAAATATTCTCAAAATACAAGTTTTCAGCTGTTTGGAGGAGCGATTTAGAGACTTTTTTTGAAAAATAATGGCAAAAAGAAATAAGGACAAAATTATACGAAAAGTTTCAAGAGTTTTACCTGGGAACGGTCCACAACTTTCGCTCATGATTGCCTCAGTCTTTACCACTATACCATGAAGGCAACGATGTAAACAACTAAAAAAATGCAGTACTTCAATACTCGCTGTTTTGCGTTATACTAGCCGTATGTAGATTTTTTCGATTTCACCCTACAGAAGAATTCTCTTCAGAGCTCTTCATCCTTGTTCATCCCTCGTCATCCTTGGTTAAATCGACTCAGAATTGTCCTAATATACAAAAAATTCTAAAAATATAAGTATTCAGTTGTTTGGAGGATTGATTTAGAGACATTTTTGGAAAAATAATGGCAAAAAGAATAAAGAAAATATTATTCAAAAAGTTTCGAGAGTTTTACCTGGGAACGGTCCACAATTTTCGCTCATGATGTCCTCAGTCTTTACCACTATACCGTGAAGGCAACGGTGTAAACAGCTACAAAATTGCAGTTCTTCAATACTCGCTGTTTTGCGTTATACTAGCCGTATGTAGATTTTTTCGATTTCACCCTACAGAAGAATTCTCTTCAGAGCTCTTCATCCTTGTTCATCCCTCGTCATCCTTGGTTAAATCGACTCAGAATTGTCCTAATATACAAAAAATTCTCAAAATATGAGTTTTCAGCTGTTTGGAGGAGCGATTTAGAGACATTTTAGGAAAAATAATGGAAAAAAAAATAAAGAAAAAATTATTCGAAAAGTTTCGAGAGTTTTACCTGGGAACGGTCCACAATTTTCGCTCATGATGGCCTCAGTCTTTACCACTATACCGTGAAGGCAATGATCTAAACAGCTAAAAAATTGCAGTACTTCAATACTCGCTGTTTACCGTTATACTAGACGTATGTAGATTTTTTCGATTTCACCCTACAGAAGAATTCTCTTCAGAGCTCTTCATCCTTGGTTAAATCGACTCAGAATTGTCCTAATATACAAAAAATTCTCAAAATATGAGTATTCAGCTGTTAGGAGGGGCGATTTAGAGACTTTTTGGAGAAATAATGGCAAAAACAAATAAAGAAAAAATTATACGAAAAGTTACAAGAGTTTTACCTAGGAACGGTCCACAACTTTCGCTCATGACGGCCTCAGTCTTTACCACTATACCATGATGGCAACGATGTAAACAGCTAATATATTACAATTCTTCAATATTCTCTGTTTTGCGTTGTACCAGGAGTATGTAGATTTTTTCGATTTCACCCTACAGAAGAATTCTCTTCAGCGCTCTACATCCTTGTTCATCCCTCGTCATCCTTGGTTAAATCGACTCAAAATTGTCCTAATATACAAAAAAAATATCAAAATATGAGTATTCAGCTGTTAGGAGGGGCGATTTGGAGACTTTTTGGAAAAATAATGGCAAAAAGAAATAAAAAAAATTATACAAAAAGTTATAAGAATTTTACCTGGGAGTGGTCCACAACTTTCACTCATGATGGTCTCAGTCTTTACCGCTATACCCTGAGGTCAACGATGGAAGCAGGTAACAATTTACAAATCTTCAATATTCTATTTTCCGTTGTACCAGATGTATTTAGATTTTTTCGTTTGTTAACTGGACTCAAAATTGTCCATAGATACAATATATTATCAAAACATGACTATTCAGCTGTTATGAGGAGCGATTTGGAGACTTTTGGGAAAAATAATGGCAAACAGAAATAAAAAAATATATACAAAAAGTTACGAGAATTTTACATGGGAATGGTCCACAACTTTCGCTCATGATGCCCTCATTCTTTACGACTATACCATGTCAACGATGGAAGCAGTTAACAAATTACAAACTTCAATATTTTGCGTTGTACCAGATGTATGTAGATTTTTTCGGTGGATAAATCGTCTCAAAAATGTCTAAATATACAATATATTATCAAAATATGACTATTAAGGTGTTATGAGGAGCGATTTGGAGACTTTTGGGGAAAATAATGGCAAAAAGAAATAAAGAAAAAAATTATACAAAAAAGTACGAGAATTTTACCTGGGAATGGTCCACAACTTTCGCTCATGATGGCCTGAGTCTTTACCACTATACCATGATGTCAACGATGGAAGTATGTTGCAAATTACAATACTTCAGTGTTGGTTAGACTCTACGGTTTCTAGTGAGGACTCACGGGCTTGGAACTACAGTTTCGTGGTCTTTGCAGATTCATGGCCTGGGAAATAAGGATAGAAACCTGGACTCAATGTTTTTCAACCAGGCCTCCGTAGACGACTAACTAACCATTAACTGGATTCCTATATTTTCAGTTCAAACACATTGCATAAACGTATCTTCATAAGTTCATCCTGTATTTAATGCAAAAATATTTCCATATGTAATTTACGCCGCAAGTTTTAGTAGTAAATTAAAAACTAAAGATTACTGATTATAACTATATTAATTCACACAGCTGGATTATAAATTTTCACATTTACATATTTAATATTTTCATTTTATTAATATACTTAACTAAATTATTACAATATGCATTCAAATTTGCGTACTGCTTGAAGGTGTAGAATCAATACACCCTGCCGGAAACTCATGCACTTTGGCTTTACAGCTGGTTCTCGTGTATGTGACATTTGTTCAACCCTAACATCTCAAACACGAAAACAAGTTATCATATTTTTATAAAAGCAAAATTTATAATTTAATATGCTCGTAATAAAATGCAACAGCGCTTACTTCGTATACTTATACTTCGAGATTGCGTGCGTACAGGTATATCAATCATGTTTCGTTCGCTATACTCTGGTTGAAATAAATGATTACAAAGCCCAGTCGAATTGCAATCAAGACCCTGTAATCAAGACCCTGTTACAGTTCGACTGGGCTTTGTAATCATTTATTTAAACCAGAGTAGCGAGCGAAACATAATTTTCCTGTTTATTGAACTTTTTGTTTCAAGTTCTTTGTAGGTTTGCATGGCGATAAAACATATAATACTTTTGTTTGTAAAGTTTATTAACCTGGAAATCTCGCGAATCGTGAGTGCCGTCTTTATAGTTTATTCATAATAGCGAGGCTCCTACGCAGGTAATATTTCTGACGTAATTATGGTCAGGAATTGTGTATTACCAAAACTATATATTTTGTCCCAAGACCAAGCACTTGAATTTTATGGTAATTAAGACATGCTCGCAGGGATGTTATTCGCGATTAAAGTCGTGTTTTTTTATTTTGCCATCTGGCTGTCACACGTATAAAACTATAGGATATTAAACTATACTATGCATAACAACTTTCCCCTTGGTTACAGCGGCAATATTGTCGCACGTCGTAAAGCGTTAACCCATCTAAAAAACAACAAAACAAGTTATTGTAAAAATTGTTTGGTACAGTAAGTACTAACTCCGTTAAGCCTGCCGCACACGAGAGCAACTTGCTCAGCTAACCGCCTCGCGTGGCAGCTAGCTCAGCAAATTTCTCTCATGTGCGAATAGTTCTCGTGAGGATTTGACCTCTCGAGGAAAATATCTATCGTGTTTAATATTTTTCACCTTACGAGGAAAAAATCTCAGCGTCTGCGAATGTTGCGAGCTTAGTACTGAGCTGCTTGAATCAATTGGCCAATGAGAGACCATAGTTTCTTCATGTGACTTTGAACAAATGGAGGGAAATGCAAATGATTTTGTCAATTATGTTGTTGTTGAGTAGTTTTCCCAACGTGTGCGGTGAAAGTACATAGCTGAGCTAACTGTTACACGAGGCGGTTGGCTCAGCAAGTTTTTCTCGTGTGAAGCAGGCTTTAAAGTAATGTTACACAGAATAATTGCCAAAGACAATTCGTAACGCAATACTGAACCAATCAAAGTTTGTGTTAGATTTACTACAATAAGGGACCGGTCATTATTTATGGTGGAGGGTGGCACCGAAGAGAAATGTTTTTCGTGGCAAAAATTTTGCTGACCCAACCATTAAAAAGTCAAAAATTTGATTACCCAACCTCAAATATCAAGTAAAAAATAAATACCCACCCCTGGCTAAAATTAAACTTTACAAAAGGTTACCATTCAGTTGTCACATATGTCCTTTTCCCGATTTCTGTGACAGGAGTTAGATAACTGCTTGTGAAATTTGCTGTAGTCTAATGTATCATGTTGTCTGCACATGTGCTTTCTTTGGAAACACATTTGTCTTCTAACAAATTGGAAAATGATCAAGACAGTGACTGATTGATTCACTTATTGTATTGACATATGACTATAACTTTTTATTACCCAACCCTTGAGTTGTTTTGTTTTTCATTTACCCAACCTTTTACTTACTCAAAATTTAGTTTACCCAACCCTTTTCTCTTCGGTGCCACCCCCCGCCATAAATAATGACCGGTCCCTAAGCATGACAAAATTACTCAGTGCTATTTGATCGGCTGAGAGGCGTGCAACTTGAGGCAGCAATGGCGGTTAAACAAGAACTAAGGATTGTGATCGACTCGTAAAACTTAGCAAAATTTTCAAACATGACTCGTACTGTTAATTCCACTCCATGCAAGACAATAGATTTCTAAGGGCAATAGAAATCATTAAGAATTCGCATAGCATGAATTGTTGCTTGGCTAGCTCGCCAGTGTACAAATTGCATTCACAACAAAAGCCGGGTTAGGGATTAAAGGCCGAGACACACAGGCCTCGATAACGAGGCGCAATTTTCACTGATCGTTAGCTTTGATCCTGGTTTAATTTATTTACAAGCACCATAATATTTTGAGTTATAGATGTACCTCGCGCCGCGTTGTCAAATCTCTGCCATCAGCTTAAAACTGTATTTGCCGAGGTATACTTACTGTTCCCCATGTTTCATATTATCTGTCTGTAAGACGACAGGTTCAGTGCCAGCATGAATTAATTGAAAGACGATTTTTTTACTATCACCATCCATCTAAAACAGTATTGAATGTCAATAAAATACAAGACTTTTAACAACAGAACCATGTACAGAAAAAACATCATTCTACCTTCTCCGGACCTCGAACATCATATCCAAGTAAGGGCCTGGTTTCTTGTGCGGCTGGATCCTACACAAAATAAAATTGTATAGTAGTCTTTGACATGTTGGTAAATAAATCAATCGTGAGTTGGTTCCAATCTGCTACCTCGCTGTTTCACACTTACACTACACTAATAGACTGCAAACTACCTGAAAAATAACAAAAATAACTTTTGAACTTCTGCAGATTTCGTATTCTTCACTGGCGCCTTTATCCCAGTAGACTTACCGAGCTTGCTTTTGAAGCGTAAAGGACGTTGTCTTTGACCACATACCACTTCTTCTGCCACTTCTTACCAACACGTGTCTTTAAATATCCACTGATTGTAGACTCTTGCGCCGCTGGAACCTGGAGATATAACGCGATAGCTGGGTATACAGCACTATTGTGATGCTCAATGACAGTAATATAACACGATAACTGGGTATACAGCACTACTGTGATGCTCAGTAACAGTAATATAACGCGATAACTGGGTATACAGCATTATTGTAATGCTCAGTGACAGTAATATAACACGATAACTGGGTATACAGCACTATTGTAATGCTCAGTGACAGTAATATAACACGATAACTGGGTATACAGCACTATTGTAATGCTCAGTGACAGTAATTTTTGAATAAAAACTTAAGCTCGGATCAAACCAGGATGAGAGTTGGCACTGAGTCTCGCGACTTTGGTTAGTCGTTCTTAATGTTTTTCCAAGACTATCATGTATTCTATTTAATGTAAAACATGGTTACAACACTCATCAAAGCCGTTTATTTTGTTAGTCTAGAGCTTCAAATATCCCCTGTAATAAAGTGTGACTGCCTCACCCTGGTTTCACTGGGGCTTTAATGTTACCTCTTTAGATTTAAAGAATCTGTGCTTTCGACTTTTTTTTACAGGATTAATTTTTGTAGCCGAGTCCTTTGTTTCTGTAGTAACTCCGTTTTCTTTCGTTTCAACAGCAGTCTGTGTTGAAGATTTCTTGTCTGTCAGATCTAGGAAGACACATCGTTGTTTTTTCATCAGGATAACCGGTACGTTCTACAGGCAAGCTGATATAATTTGAACATTAAATGAATCTTACCATCGTAACAGACATCACAAACTCGGGCAGTTTCATCATTCAGATAGGCCAGTGGAGCGGAGTTGGACGAGCACGAGCCACATATCACCTAAGATATGCAAAATATAAAACATATAAAGCCTAAAACTTTACTTTAAAGTTTGTCGCAAAATTATGAATCCTGATCGGCAAGGCCTCCCTAATTTTCGCTGCCCGCGTCTCAACCCCAAACTTTTAAAACCCCAGGTATACGCAGGCTATGATCACGCTCTTTGGAGAGTGTTGACAAAGACTTAAAATATTCCGGCTTATTATTTTTCTGCATGGTCTTTCATTATCAATACTGAAAATCTGCTAAACCGAATAAAGAGCTTTTACTTCAATCAGCCAATCACGAGACAAGGCGGTCGTGCATGATTGGGCTGTCATCATTAGCAATGATGAGAATTCAAATTGAGTCGTTCAATCATTCATGTAGGATGCAAGTATTGTGATATATTTGGTAAGCGAAACAAACAACTAAAATGAGTGTCTATCGTGGCACACCGACAAAACTGAGGGTCACAACACCAAAAGGAAAGATATTATTACGAGGAGAGCAAGATTCGTCCACTGTAATGACAGTTTTAACAAGTCCTACGAGATCAGAACGAAAGGAATTATATTTCTGCGAGAATGACTGGGAGACTTTAGGAGATAGCTACGGTCTTGAAGTTGATACTGAACGAAAAGATGACGAAGACTTGAATAACGGACGATGTTTCCGAGAAAGAATTCGAGTGCAAGATTCAGAGAAAACGCTGGTAGGTGGAGAGTGGGGAGATCAATTTCATGTGGCTTATATTGACGGCGTGAAACCTGTCTTAATACAGATCAAATGTAAAGATGATGACCTCACACGAGAGGCCACAAGACAGGAGGGTGTTGATCTCACAGCAGAGGCTCATCTCACAAGACAGGAGGATCTTCTTGAATCGACACATGAGAATATTACTGAATGTTCCAACAATAATTTGGATAATAAAGATGTTTATTTAATGTACTATATCGAGCAGGAAACGAGCGAATGATTGTTTCAATATTTTAACATACACCGGACAATATCGCTTCGTCCTGCTACTAGTACGAACTGCATGTAATATGAGAAGTTGTAAAGAAAATATTCGTCAAATATATCAGCTATAACTGAAAGAATGTGACAAACCAAAGATCATAACAATTTCAATGATAAAATATTCATACAATAATTTAGACATCAAAATCTTAAGGATGTAAAATATTTGGACATTTATATTGCGAGAAACTATTTGGTTTTCAAAGATATTTGCTTTTTAAAGATATTTGCTTTTAAAATATTTGTTTGGCATTTTCAACGGGAAATGCTTGAATAATTCGTCACAAAGTAAAATACAATAAACTTAGAAATACAGTTCATTAATTATTTAAAATTGTATGAAGCACAGACAAAAGCAACAGACAGAAAATGTATTTATATATTTCTAGCAAAGAATGTTTTGAAATTTAATCTGAAATAATTTTATGAAATATAAAAGCTGTCAACAATCTGTCTAATGTACAAATATCTCAACAAATGTGTGAAGATTTGACAATATATAATAATCGTAATTTTACTGTCCTTTGTGTGCTGTATGCAAATGATAGCCATGTTTGTTCAAGGATTCACATTAATGATTAATGAAACTGGCTATACAAATCAGACTTTATTGAATGGTAAAAATTTCGGGTTCAATTTCCATAGTCAAGCAATTTCCAGATTGTTCAGTGTGATGATTTCAAGACGTCATAACAAAAATACAAAATGCAAACCGCGAAGTTCATATGTTAGCATGCAGCTAGTACCATACCTTGCCACATGCCCTGCAATGGTGTCTTCTGTTGGTGACAGTGAAATCATCTGTACACACCATACACATGGTTACACGAACATCCGGGATCCACACAGGAGCTTTAGAGCCCAACTTTGCCTCTTTATCGTCATCCTGGTGTTGGGCATCGAACAGCTAGAGTAAAAGAATATATTATTTCCGTAAGTGTTAATATTTCTGATGTTGAGGAACATCTCGTGAAATATTCTGTACACTCGGGGTCGAACGAAGTGAAGAAAACCAAGACTTGGCTTATCATGCAGCTGATAATGATTATCAGCTGCATGATTATGATTATGATTATCTGCATGATTATGATTATCTGCATGATTATGATTATCTGCATGATTATGATTATGATTATCTGAGAAAATGTTGGTTATCTCTTCATCAGGGGCTGGTTGTTCAAAGCTGGGTTAACTTAACCCTAGGTTAACTTAAAATTCCAAAGCAAACTCCCCAGATATTGTTTATAAATTTTGAAATATTTCTTCAGAGATCTTGTCTGAATCAGTAGGAGTTGTCTTCTCTGAAGTTTTGAAACAAACACAAGTGCAGAAATACACAAACTAAAACAACAGATGAAATTTTAACCGAGGGTTAGCGTTAATCCACTTTTGAACAACCAGCCCCAGATGTAATGTATTTAGTAGCAAATAAAGAGAATTGAGGGATGTAGATTAATTTTCTTGCTCCCCATAAATGGCAACATCTACTAACACTTACTAAAGTTTACGGCCAAATAAACAGATTAATATCAACACACCTCCCTCACGCCTCCCTCTTGTAATAGAAAGATTACAGCAAACAACATTATTAGAATGGAAGATAAAGTTTATAATACATACCGCCTCCATTTTTTCTTTCTTAGCAAGACGAAATGTTATTTTCTTCTTACGGATTTCATCCGAAGCATTTCGTAATGCCTAAAAATAGAAAATATACATATCATTCTGTCGTGGCTGCATGCGACTATATAAATTCGTAGTACAGTACTTCAGGTAGAATTGAATAATGCTTGAGTGATGGAATTTTAAAAAGAAAATATTCAAAGATACCTCGAGCCATTCATCTCTCTCATCCGCTGTGCTAAACGTTACAAAAAACAAAATTTAACAAACACATGAAGTGATATTTCATAACAGAATGCTCAATCCTTCATTCATAACTGTTTACTCTACAAACTCAGGGATATTTACGTGATGACTGAATTTCAAATCACACGTGATAATTGAATTAAAATCACACCTTTAGGAAAAGTCTATGTCATGAAAATATAAAATTTCCAGTGCAAAGAACGATAGCGTGATTTAATTACGAACATCCAATACACTTAACAGAAACAGGAAATGCCTGGAAAAGTTTCGATCGTTTAAGCAGGCACTTGACTACCGCATGTATAACTAAGTTAGTATTTTTATTGGTAGTTTGCAGCCAGTCCCTTGACATTGAAGACTGCTATGTTGGATGAAAATACGCTATAAATACAAAAGTTGTTAATGATATTCTTTTCTTAACGTTCCTATCCGCCATGACGTTAAGCGCAAACCAAGAATTCACTAAATTGTCAGGATCTAAAAATCACTTACTGTGAGATAGTTTTCCTGATTAATAAAGATCTTTACTACCATACAAGTTATTAAAGAAACATTTTCCACTGTAGAACGTGTGGTTATGTTACATAACAGACAAAAGTGATTCGCCATGTTAAAAATATACAAACCTTGCTGACAATATGAATGATTTCTTGGTACTAATGATACTGAATTCATTTTCGAAATCTGGCGAGACCGGTAGCTCAACCTATACAAAGACAATATTAACTAAGGGCGCTTTCCATTAACACGGCCAGAACGGTCAGTACAATTAAATTGCTGACTGGAACACTTAACATTTGGGCTTCGGACCTATCTGACCGGAAAATTTAGCTAACATTAGAATGAGGTCCATTTTCGTTAGATATTTGAAAAATATAGGCCAGATCTTTCCATTGATACAGAGAAAAGAATTCGGGTCTGACCGGTCAGGACATTAAATGGAAAGCGCCCTAAGATTCTGGCGAAATAGTTAACTTAATGGACCTTTAACCTTATAACTAAAATTTTGATCTAGACAAGTCTAGACAAAAATTTCATCACAGCTTGAAAGAGCATCACAAAATTAGTAATATTCCGAAGTTTCGTTGCGAAATGTTGTAAAATGCGGATAATATAGCCTTGCGAAGTTTGCAATTTTCAGTAATTTTAGATTACAAACGGGAAATTGATACCCAAATCGGGTGTTTGGTGTTTGTTGAATATTACTAATTTTGTGATGCTTAGTTTATTTAAGAGAGCTCAAAATACCTGTATTTCCTCCAATGGCAATGAGAGATTGAGACGAAATTGGTTGTTGGCGACAGGGGTGGTGTAGAGCAAAACATCAGTTAGCTAAGCAATGGTAGAAATTTGTGTCAAGGCAAATCAACTGAGACATTTTAAGAAATATTTAATATACTTACTAAGTAAAACATTCTCGGCTGCATTTCCTTACGAGATAGTTTCATAAGAGCACCTTCCTTTATAAGCTCCTGAGAGAATGATTTCAGTGAGATTCAAACGGATGAGATTTGGAAAGGATGGAATATTAAAATGAAAAACAAAAGTTTGCTGAATAAAATAAAGGATGAGTACATTATATAGGTCAGAAACATGCTCCAAATAAGGGTTTACAGGCATTGAATAGACCTTTCCCCTTTTAAGTGAAATTTTGATCTAGACTAGCCTGGACAAAAATTTCATCACAGCTTGAAAGAGCATCACAAAATTAGTAATATTCCAAAGTTTCGTTGCGAAATGTTGTAAAATGCGGATAATATAGCCTTGCGAAGTTTGCCGTTTTTCAGTCATTTTGTATTACAAATGGGAAATTGATAATCAGTTTGATCATCTGATTATCAATTTCCCGTGCGTAATACAAAATGACTGAAAAACGGCAAACTTCGCAAGGCTATGTCTGTCTATAGCATCCACATTTTACAACATTTTGCAACGAAACTTCGGAAAAATAACTAATTTTGTGATGCTCTTTCAAGCTGTAATAAAATTTTTGTCCAGACTTGTCTAGATCAAAATTTCATTTAAAAGGGGAAAGGTCTATTGATTTATACTAAAACTGTCTGTACCAGTGTGGGTAGTACCAATGTGAAATTGCTGTGCTGAGTGGTTATATTACTACCTGAAATAAACAAGCAAAGACTGGACGTTTCGAGCGATGGCCCTTCGTCAAGAGTTAGTGGCTACAGTATACTAACTCTTGACGAAGGGCCTTCGCTCGAAACGTCGAGTTTCTGCTTGTTTATTTCAGGTAGTAATATAACCACTCAGCACAGCAATTGAATTGATTTGCATGGAATGGGTAAAAGAGAAAAAATAACGGAGTGATAGTGGACATAGCAAGGAGAGAAAAACTGGATTGGGTGAAAGAGACGAAATAAGGGAACTAGGAATAATAGTGAAAAGGGATGAAATGGAATGAAGTGGTACTGTGGTAGTGGCAGACAAAGAAAGAATAGACAATTCCCATTATAGACTAATTTTAAAACTAGGCAAGGAGATGCAAATAAATTACCACAGCTAGAAAGAGCATACTAAAATTAGTAAAATTGCAAAGTTTGCTTGCGAAATGTTATAAAATGTGGGAAATATAGCATTGAAAAGTTCGCAAATTTTGTATACTTTTGTATTGCGTGCGGCCATTTTCGGCCTAAATGTGGTAGGAATGTGGTAGGAATTTCCGCACGCAATACAAAAGTATACAAAATTTGCGAACTTTGCAAGGCTATATTTTCCACATTTTACAACATTTCGCAACCAAACTTTGCAATTTTACTAATTTTAGTATGCTCTTTCTAGCTGTGGTGATTTATTTGAGTCTCCTTGCCTAGTTTTAAAATTAGTCTATAATGGGAATTGTCCATTACTGAAGGAGTCGTTGTTACTTACTCTGCCAGGTTTAACTATCTCAACTTCTCCAACCAAATTTCTTTGAACTTTGAGAACTTCTTCAAAGTTATCCTGTCAAAACAAACACCAGGTAAGCTCTGCATTGCGCGTGATGTCACTCATCTGGAGCCTTCGAGAAGACCGGGGAATTCGATGGCCGCAGGCCTGTACACAGTTTAGTTTATCGGATCTCTAGACAATACCGGTCTGGAGGAAACATCAAGAATCCCTAATCATGCAGTGTGGGGTTTTTCTCATGAATATATATTGTGCCATGTTTCCCTGATATCTCTGACATAGGCCACGCTACCACGTCGCTGTATAGCTGTTTACTTTCACTTCGTATATTTCACTTTGTCATTGCTCGCTGAATTGTGAAAACATATTCCGATGATACTAATCGTTTCAAACCCAAAACATAAACCTACTTCAAATACGGATTATGTTTTATCTGAATAAAATGCCAAAGAAGGCAATATAGTTGTTGGCATGAATACCCCGCCAGCTTAGTTTTAAATCCAGCATAATGAGATAAAACACAGACATGACTAACCTTAAACTGTCTTGGCCCGCCATCTAGCATGATACATGCCGGAATTTCACTATTTTCGCGGCCAGTATAGCGGCACGAAGTTTGTTATATTTTTACACGGTTATATAACGACAGATTTTAGTGCGTCTTAAATTAATTCATCATTTGCAATATGAGAATCGTATTTGAGGTTTGTCTCAATGGCAAAGGTGAAGTGGCGTGAAATTTAATACTGTATAGTGAAAAAACACATGTTTTCAACCATCAGAGAAATTCTTTTGTAATTTGTTTTCTTTTGGTCGCAACTAGTTGGGGAAGACAAAACTTCGTTGACATTACGTTTCGAGCCCTTCGTTACCATTATTGAATGCCAGTAGCCAAACTGAAGGTCTTCGGGGTTTTCTTAATCTCAATTTTTGTGGCAGTAGCTTATAGGTTAGAAAGCTTAGTATTAATACTATACCTAGACTGGAGCACCATATTTGTGGTTATTTACTCATATAAGTCATTGTTAGCTAAAATAGAAAGCCGGCATCTGCATGTCATCACGAGAAGGATAAAATATTTCAAAAATGTTCAAAGACATGAAAATTTATTAGATGATCAATAGTGATGAAAGCCAACAAATTCCTTGAAACATGACCCGGACCAATATAATACCCCCTGTCAAATTTTACGGGAGGAGTGGGGAATCATACATTTGGTGGTGGCGAAAATATTTTAATACTAAAAGTTGTAATATTATTAAGTGAAAAGATATATCGACGACCTATTAAAAGACTTCTCGATAAATTGGTAAAATATCGTTACGTACATATTCATCTGAACTTACCACTCGTTTCATATCTTCATTAATATGTGTAGCAACTTCTGAAACAATGGCGAGTGCATCTAAAATATAATATCACGTGTTTTACATCGGGTAGGTTTCATAAGAATATCGATGATGGTCAACCTGCAGTTATCAGAGCGAGTCAGTGAGAAAAGAGTCTTTTCATTCTACTATGTCTTATACTGGTCAACACAGAATTCAGAGATGAAGTCCTAGAAGTCAACAGTTCAAAGGTTGAGTACACCTTTTGTTAGAGTAAGATATTTCTGAGCGCGGTCTCACCTGAGACATCCTTGTGATCCAACGAGTCTTTACTGAGATGTTTTAAATAATCTAAACGAAAATTAAATCTTCATATCAGGATCAGCTTGTTTCATTGTCGGAAATATAGTCATTGTCCCATGTTCCACCGTTAGTCGTCACCGTTCCGTGTTGAACCATCTTCAATAATTTGTTAACAACAAATCATTATGAATTATGAACAACCTAGCAATATTTACCAATGAGAAGTAAACGATAACTTGGAATTCTCTGGATCGGTTTCAACATGTACATTCCAACTGTAAGATAGTGACATCTTTCACTAGACTGAGAAATACAACAAACGTAATGCCATTATGCAAATGTAGAAATACAAAACACGGCTATAATTTTAGCACATTCGCAAGAGACTGCTTCCAGCTTGACTCTGCCGCCATCAATGGTCTCCTTCTGGTACTATAGTTTCCTGTAGTATACATCCTGGATGAACAAGAGATGGTCATTGCTGGACAGGTACAGCTATCCAGTATAAACACATTTAGTTTAGTGTTACGAGTGGTTCTATATAAACACATACATACCTCAACCCTGGTGCCAGAGGTTCTGTATATTTCGCCTTATTCCCGCTCGTAATAAGGCAAAGACACAGAACCTCTGCCAACCAGGGTAGCATACCTCAAACTCTCGAACAACTTCAGCAAACTGTGGATATTTCTTTAACGCTTCAGTCAAGACTGCCATGGCATTGTCGTAACCTTGGATGTAAGTTTTATACATCTGAAGAAAACATGAATTTATCGTGAGTTTTTGTTCATCTACATGTAAAGAATTTCTATTGATTGTACTCATGAAACTTTGGTACATGCAAGAAATATCATATCCACTTACTTTTAAGAAAGGGCTAAATGTCTTTATAATGTCACCAATTCTTTGCTCTTTTTCCCTAAATTTTTTGTTGCAAAAGAAAATGTCAAGTATATATGTATAACTACGGCTTTGCTAACTATATTACGAGTTTATAGCTCCTGAGACGCCAGCTTACCATGTTTCCATGCGGTCCTCGAGAGCTTTCAAAAATTCAGAATCAAATTTATAAATTTGAGAAATATTCATGACAATCTCTTGTAATGTTTCATCAGGAATGATTGCTCGACCAAATTTCTTATTTCCTTTTGCCACAACTTCTTGGAAATCCTAGAAATTAAAATCGACAAAAGATTTAGTTCAATAAATAATATATATATTCAATGTTTATAGCATCCATGCAAATGAATATATATGATGGGCACATAATAATAGGTTACCAAATCAAAGGAAATGCGGGTTGGTTTTATCTGTACATATACAAAAGGAAATCTGAAGTAGGTCCTTCGTCTAGGCTTGTGAATTAAAGACATTTCTGTAAGTAAATGACTGACCTGGTAGTATTAAACTAGTTAAGAACGTACCTCAGATACCAGCTTCACTACATCTACAAATGTTCGTTCAGTGGATAAAATCTCCCTCGAGATGTAATAAGTCTTGCTTTTTTGAGGTTCCTCTTCCTAAACAAAGACAGGAATATTACTTTACGGACTACATAAAATTGTTGTCCCAAGGGAAGATCAAAAATTTTTATCCGAGGTTTTTATCTTGCCTTTTCATTCTCTGACTCTGAATCTGTTGTAAGAAAGCTGGCGTGTTTTGTGTCATTCTGAGAGGTTTCTGACTCCGCGAGATCTACAATGATAAAAATATTTAATAATGTCACTGCTTTACTGGATGGCACAGTTTGTTAGTGCGTCAGTTGTGACTAAGCAGAAACAACACTTCACTAAACATTGATGGTCAACCGACAGGAATAGTCACTGAGGAACATTTAGGTCAGTGGTTTGTTTCCTACCTTCTTGTGAAGCTGACGTATCTTCTACTTCAATGACGTCATCTTTACCTGGTTCCTCACTCTCAGAATTTGCTGACTCATCTGTTTTGGTCTCACTGACGAAGAAAGTTGGAGGACTGGGTCTTGGTGGTTGGTGTTTCTTCTTCATACCAAAACTAAAACTGCGTGATATTCCTTTCCCCCCTGAATCTGAGATATCTTCACTAGTAATCTCCTTGGCGCGACCTTTTCCAGGGGGTGCAAAACTCTTACTGCGGGATACAGAATTTGAAGAACGTTTTGGTTCAACAGTGCTTTCATTAAATTTGACAGCTTTTGTTGACGGCACAACGACTTCTTCGATGTCGAGAAGATAAAAAAGACAACAAGAGGACCAAAAGGTAGTGGATCGGTTTTACAATAGCAGTACATTACATTTGGTTCAAGACAATTGCAGTACATTACATTTGCTTCAAGGCAATTGTAAAAACCAAACGTATAAACAAAACATTTATCTAATAGTGAATGAATATTTATAAAAAATGTCAATAATACCTGATGGTTTCCTAGTATCATTTTCCTCCAAGATTTCATTCAGTTCATCTGAAGAGCTAACTCTTCTATCTTCTGTTGTTATTTCTTCTTCACTGGCGTCGCGCTTTAAAAATAAACGTTAAAAGACTATGAACAAGTATTGATCACAACTATGAACAGCCATTACTGATAAACAACAATTATCAAAGTTTAGAAAACAGTTGTAGTCTGAAATGGTGGCTACTAGAGAAATCAATATATAAATATTAAAAATAAGAACCTTAGGTACGACGAGTTTTGACTCTCTTTTCAAAGAGGATGTTCTCTTTGGTTTGGGCGGTGGCGTCTTCTTCTTCTTCGGAGATTGGACGACGTTTATTGCTTGCGTCTTGCCAACGTCCTCATCGCGCCGGACATCGTTTTTCGACGATTCATTGCTGGGAGAATGCGTGGTCTCGCGTACCTCTTGCGTTTTCACGTTCTTGTCCGAGCTAGTAACCTCACCCACGGTTTCGCCTGGTGATAGATTCTCTGAACCTGAACACGCATGGTTTACATCTGGTTCTTCTTTATCCATGAGTGTTCCTGTTTGCTCAACTACACACACTTCATCATTATCCTTACCAATCACCTGATGTTCAATTGTGATGTCTTCAACGTGATCTTTAAGTTGTTCTATATTGTTATTCTCTATCTTTTCTTGATCTGGAGACTCATTAACTTGTTCTTCAATGTCTGTCAATGGTTCTGATTTCGTCTTCACGTCAACCTGACTAACTACATTTTCATCTTGGTGTTCTCCTCTCGTAACATTTCGTTTTGTGGTCTCGAAATTTTCCTGATCGTTCATTGTTCCCTCATTTTTCTTCACATCCAAATCTTCCTGCTTCAGGCGAACCTCGACATTTTTGTCAGGTTTTTCTCCTGGTACGTGAACCTCGATATTTTTGTCAGGTATTTCTCCTGGTACAGGAGGAGCTTTACGTTTCACTTTCCTGGGTAGGTTTTGCACGACATCAGTATGTTCTTTTATTCCACCGCTAGCAATCCCTCGAACCTCATTCTCATTCTTGCCCGCTTTATCAGTTTTACTAGCAGTTGTATCAGATATAATTCCATTCCCAAGACTGGCTGCTTTATTAGTTGGACTTGAAATGACATCGTTACGTTCAGATTCATTTACATCGTCAAAACCGCCAGGTTTATCACTTGAAGTTTCTTCTGAATTATTTTCATTCCCAAGTCCTAAGACGTCAGGAGCCTCGTTTCCATGCCCCTTCTCTTCATGTTCACCACTAGCGCCAGTCTTTTTACTACTCGAGGGAGGATGTGGCCGAGAGGGTTTGGGTCCGACCTGAGGAGCGCTGGCAGAATCCTCTTCAGAGTTCCGCCTAGTATGGCCTTTGTCTTTCAGTTTCTCGACAAATTCTTTCTTATTAAAAGATTCAACCTCAGTTTTAGACAAGGAACTCACTCGAAATCTTACGCTATGACGGTCACTAGATTTATCTTTTTCGGATGTTTCTTGCTTTTCTTGCGTCTTTACTGCAATAAAAGGAGCATTTTCTGATTCATCCTTTGGAGCTGAACTAGTTCTGTTTGGTGGAGGTGGTCGTGCAAGTTTAAATGACTTTGAATGTTCAGAAAACTTTGAAATATCTTCACCACAACTTGTTTCTTCACATTTCGCCACGGAAGCATCGTCCATTTTTCGTTCATCACTTTCAATATCATTTCCCTTTACTTCATTAGACTGTAACTCTCTTATAGTTTTCTCAGGATCATTGCACATAATCTCATTCGCACTTTCCTTATTTTGTTCTCTGATATGCGACGGTTTTTCAACTATGTCCATTGTAGAGTCAGCTTCTTTGTCTTGTTCATGACTTTCAGAGACGAAGGTTCGTCGTTTAGGTTTTGGTGGAGTGTCCACAGATTTGTTTGCATCAAGGGGTATTTGTTCTTCATGATGGTGTTCTTGAGGTTTTGGAGGTGTTTCCACAGATTCTACCTTATCAACAGATACTTGCTTTTCATGACGTGGTGCTTGAGGTCGTGGCGGTCTGGGTTTACTAACTTCTGTTGTCTCGCTGGGTTTAGGAGGTCGGGAAGGTTTAATGGAACCTGTTTTCTTCAACGAATGATTACTTTCAGGCTCAATATGATGTTCGTTTATTTGCTTTGCTTCTTTTAGTGCGACAGTCATTTCAAGTCTAGACAGATTGTTAGATACAGACTGTTGATGTTCTAAAATTTCGTGGTTATCTTTTGAAATGTCTTCTGTTTCCTCAGCTGTTGTTGACACTTTTGGTTTTGACGGTCTTTGTGGTTTCGTCGACGCTACAGTTTGGGGAGGTTCTTCTTCCTGTACACCGCTTGTAGAGTCACAACCTGATTCCTTAGTTTGTGCTAAATCGGCAGTAGGAAGGTTTGGTTTTGATGGTCTTTCTGGTTTGGTCGACGCTACAGTTTTCTGAGGTTCGTCTTCCTGTATATCGCTTGTAGAGTCACAACCTGATTCCTTAGGTTGTGCTAAATCACTAGGAAGGTTTGGTTTTGATGGTCTTTCTGGTTTGGTCGACGCTACAGTTTTCTGAGGTTCTTCTTCCTGTACACCGCTTGTAGAGTCACAACCTGATTCCTTAGGTTGTGCTAAATCACTAGGAAGGTTTGGTTTTGATGGTCTTTGTGGTTTGGTGGACGCTACAGTCTGGGGAGGTTCGTCTTCCTGTATATCGCTTGTAGAGTCACAACCTGATTCCTTAGATAACTCAGTAGAAATGTTTGGTTTAGACGGTCTTTGTGGTTTGTTCTTGTGAGGGTCAGTTATTACGATATTTGTACTGCTCGAATCTCTAGCTACCACTGCAGGAAGTTTCGGTTCAAAAGGCCTCTCTGGTTTGTCGACATTTTTATGTTTTAATGATTTATTCTCTTCTGTCTCTTGAGATACATTGCTTTCAGCATCTTTGGTTGTTTTTGACAATTCAGGAGGACGTGTTGGTTTGGAAGGTCTAGAAGGTTTAGGTGATGCCACATTCTCAGTGTTTTCGTGTTGGACTTCTTTAGTCACAACTTTACAAGACTGTTCATCCAGAGGAAGTGGTTGGATTGGCATGTTTTCAGGTAACTTTGAAATATCATGGCTAATCTTTTCTTCTGTTTTTCTTAATGGAGCACGAGGTCTTGATGGCTTGGGGGATGCCACCTTTTCAGTCTTGCTGTTTTCATGCTGGATTTCTTGAGCCACAACATTACCAGGCTGTTCATCTAAACCTCTGGATGGAGCACGAGGTCTTGATGGCTTGGGGGATGCCACCATTTCAGTCTTGTTGTTTTCATGCTGGATTTCTTGAGCCACAACATTACCAGGCTGTTCATCTAAACCTCTGGATGGAGCACGAGGTCTTGATGGCTTGGGGGATGCCACCTTTTCAGTCTTGTTGTTTTCATGCTGGATTTCTTGAGCCACAACATTACCAGGCTGTTCATCTAAACCTCTGGATGGAGCACAAGGTCTTGATGGCTTGGGGGATGCCACCTTTTCAGTCTTGTTGTTTTCATGCTGGATTTCTTTAACTTTACACGACTCTAGAGGACGTGATGGTTTAATTGGAGATTTTTCAGGTGTTGAATTATCAGGACTTTCATTTATAATATCTTCTGTTTTTCTTGACGGAGCGCGAGGTCGAGGTGGTTTAGCCTCTTTCCTCGGCTGAGTTTCAGTGTCAACACTTCCATGTGTTGTTTTTGGTGTCTTGGGTGAAATCACCGTATCTGGTGTTTCCTTCTGAGATGCTGTTTCTAACTCTTTCGGTTTTTCTGTGGGGGAACTGATAGTAGAAGGTTTCTCTGATGGTTCTAGTTCTTCATTAAATACATTATCGTTCTGAGGTGCGGAACTAATTTTTTCAGTTGTCTGTGACACAGCAGCGACCTCTGATGAACTATTTTCAAGTGAGTAAGATGCAGTATCCTCTTTACTTGGTGTTTCAACATCAAAAGTCCCGGATCTGTCTCCATCATTTCCCTTGACTAGCTCTTTAGCTGGCTCTGGGACCTCGTGTCTTGAAGATTGTTTGGACTTGGGTGTCCTGGGTTGAACAGGGGGACTTTGCTTTCCAAGAACATTTAATGGTTTACTGGTTTTAGATTTTCTCCCACCACGGGGTGATTCTGGTTTTGGTAGGACAGGAGGAGAAATTTTATGTGTTTTAGGTACATGTGTGGATGTTGGTTTTTCAGGAGGTGCAGTTGAACTCTTGCCACTGCTGTCCAAAGTGTTTGTTTTATCATCAGTTGTTACTGAAGGTGATCTGACAGGAGGCTTTGGTCGTTCAGGTTGCGATTTTTTATAAAGGCTGGTTATAACATGCTCAGGATTACTTTCTACAGACATTTTTGGGTTCTCAGGTCTTGAAGGCTTCGTTGCTACTGGAATCGTTGGCTCAGCCTTATTTTCGGGGGGCGAATCTTGGGTAATTTCAGCATTAGTGATACCACTGTGTTTTGTATCAGACTGGGCTGACATTTCTGTTGGCTCTTGTGATTGTTCTGATACAGAATGTGTCTCCACTTGGGAGGTATCAAGGTGTGATCCTACATGCTCGTGATGTTCATGTCTATCCTGTGATGAGCTGTTATGTCCAGTTGGGAGGGATTTTTCTGAAGTGCACACTTTCCCCATTTCTGTTGTTTTGTCTTCCTTACCATTTCCTGTATCAGTATTCCCCGGGGTTTTAATGCTTGCTTGGTGCGAAGGTAGAGGGGGGCGCCTTGGTCTTGAGCTATCTTCATCCTGGTTGTCCTTCGGGTGTGTGTCCTTGTGGCGTTGTGGGGATTTTGACAGGGTCCTGATTCTCTTCCCGGGTGGAATTTTACTTAGCCCAGGCGGTCGAGGGGGGAGTGGGGGTTTGGGACTGGATATTAAAAAAATTATTAATAAGGGCTTGACTTTCAGCCCATCATTGCAATCTCGTCCCCCGAGACTGTGATACTCGGGAAGGAACGTGAGGCTCTGGGATAATCCGTTTCAGGGAGGAATCTGATTGGCCGTTGATATGGAATGCGCAGTTCGGTCTTAGCCAGGATTCCTGGCTTCCGGGAAACGGATTATCCCAGAGCTTTACCCTTATAAGTGCATAACTTTAGACTGTCTAATGCTAGACAATTTTACTCATCAAGGGGAGCATGCTGCTACTTAATGGGTTAATCCTATAAATTGCTCTCTAGCATTCCCTACTTTGTTATTAAACATTCAGGGGCGTAGGAAGCATCAAAAGATTGGGGGGCACCGGCTTCTAGGGGCACTTCAGGGTATTGAAAAGGGCACCTAAAAATTTTTCCCGGAAATTTTGGCGAAGGGGGTGGGAAGAAGAAAAATTTTCCCGTCGTCTATACCGAAATTGCACGTTTTTTACCAAATTTTTTTTAAAAACTTGGAAATTTCCAAACAAAAAGGGTCACATTAGCTTGTACAAAAATGGCACTTTTCATCACAAAAATGGGCATTTTTAGTCCTTTGAAAAAATTTGGGGGCACATGTCCCCCATGACCCCCCCCCCCCGGTTCCTACGCCCCTGTAAACATTTAATTGACAGATATTTTAACTAAATCAAATACCAGCTAGTATATAATATCTCTAATATGTTCACAAGTGATTTTCCGTGTGGGAAACATATTCCTATGATAATTTAAATAAAAGCCCAGCTTAATGCTTTAAAGAGAGCCATCCAAAAAATTTTATTATATAAAAGTTTTATTTTCACTCTCAATAAAACCTTTACATATATTTGTGTGTATGGCTCTATTTAGATTATGCTCAAGGGCTCTTATTTCCAATATCTGATATACTAAAAGCCTACCTTTTAACAACTTGTTTGGGATGTATTGCCTTTTCAACTCCTTCTTCATTATTTATGTCTAAAAGTATATTGGAAAAATATTGTTATTATTCTCTTCAGGATAAATTCAACACAGTTGAGGCACAAGGTTTGCTTGGTTACCACAACAACACTGGTCAGAGGGCAATATAAAAATAATGTACGAGTCAAATCCAACCGCGATCAGCCCCCCCCCCGGGCAACCGCCAGGGAATTTGACTTTTGAAAAAATAATTGGTCAAATGCCCGCCCGAACAGGCAGAAACCACAGTCAAATGCCCTGCTATAGGGGTAGTCCTGGTTCTGGAATTTTGGCTAAAATTAAATTTAACAGGTATTTCAAGATTAAAAAGAACGAAAAATAGGCCAGGCAGTTCTTCTTTTTGTTTAAACTATCGAAAAGACGCAAAATAGAAAACTTGTGAATCGCTAGAATGTACACATATTTTTAGGGAAAACCGCTGAGCAAGTTGTCAAGTGGTCAAATGCCCGACCGGGTCGTCAAATTCCCGCCTATACGGGGGTAGTGTTAAGTCAAATGTCCTGGGGTTGGGGGGGCTGATCGCGGTTGGATTGGACTCGTACATAATACATAATGATCCCATGCTAGTAAGCAAAGCCAAATCTAACATTACGCCTGCTTGTTTTCAGCTTGCAAATGCAAAACATAAATTTGTCCAGTGATAACCTTGTTGCAAAACTTAGAAAGAACTTGTTAAACTCTGTTCAAACATGTTGCTCCAATATCATCCCACATATTGTTGAATGTAATATTGATGGCCTCTTTTGTGTTGGGTAATATTGGATTGATCTTGACTATGTTTAAAATTTTTATCTAACATTATTGAACGTATTGTTGGGCCAATAGTGTTGAACTCATTTGAACAGTGCTTTATGTGCAACAATGCTTGAACACACATGACATCTGTTGATACAGCTGCCATGTTTGTTTCAAAAATTTGCAACTTTGTGACACTTTCAAACATAGAATGTTAACACTGGTTTAAATCAACAGCTATCATATGAAGCTACATATTTATGTTACATGTCAAAAAATCAAGCAAAAACACCACTTATAAATATTCATGTGCACATGACATTCATGAGTATAACCAGTATATCAATAAATCCCTTTAAACATGATTTAAAATGTTCAATAAATATTGGTTAAAGCCCCCAAACTTTAATATAAAACTAAAACAAAATGTTGTAATAACACAAAGGAAGTGTTAATTAGTACACTTCGTAAACTTTTAGAGTGCTTCGAAGCTACTTGACCGTCTAATTGAACAAAACAACTCCGTAAGCATGTCGTCTTTAATATAGGAAGTGGCTGCCTTTAATATAAAATTATCGACCAAAAATGGCGTGTAAAGCAACATAAATTCAGAATTATATTCGTGTTAGCACAGCTCATAGATTCAGGAAGTAGTGCTCGATAAAACAGGGCGAAGCTGCTTTCAGTCGACAATAAAATTATAATAATAAAGCTAATATACGAATAATTTATAATTGTATAGTACCTTTCGTGACTGTAGTTTGGTCGACGCTTGTTGCTTTCTTGCGGGTTGTATCATCCATATTTCACGCTTTATTACCGGGTAATAATCGATAATCCATGTTGTTATTGTTTGCCTCTGACAAAAGAAGAATATTTTTCGGCAATAATGAAATATGATCTAAGAAATATTTTGAAACAATTATATCTAATAAAGTAATAATTATGCAATCGAGGACCACGTTGGATTGCAAGGGATATAGACGGATTGGCTAAGCCACAGGTTCTGTGACTAAGCACGGATCCTTAATTGTGGTCAACTGGCATATCAGTAACAAAATAATATTAATTATTTTCATGTTATGGAGTAGTCTTGTCTTGAAGGCAAATATATAAGAATGAGAGATGCATATTAATTTGTCTGTTTCTATATAAAGTGTCAAGAGTTCTGAGTTGAACAGCATCTAGTTATTAATGCTTATTTCGAGGCTTACTTATTAAAAGTCTAAAACCCCAGCAATTACGTTAGATTATAGGCATACGTGTTGCCTTAGGGACCATAGACGGATTTTCATATTTATTACTGGGGTGGTGCCAGAAATTTTAGGGGGGTGAGCCGTGAGCAGGTGACTGAAGCAGTAGTTACCCCAGTAAGGTCTATATTCTAGGGGTGGAGCACTAGAGCCGCGAGGGGGAGTCTAGAGAGCAGAAAACAAAGTATCCCAGGAAAAATTTGAAAAAATCATTATTTCTAGCTTCGAAAAAAAGTTTTTTGAAGTTGTCAATTTCTCATATAAATGGATTTGGCATGTCCGATTGTCTGTTAAGACTTGAGAGAGTTAAAGACTTAAAGTTAAATGAACCTATAAAAGTGTAAACCCAATAGGCCAATACACAATATGCTTTTACTTTTATAAAGTCATTGACATTGTGTTGTTTGAATCCGAGTACGTACAATTTATGATGCAACTCCGACGTAAATAATATTTGGGGCGTAAAAATTAAATCTAGGCAAGTCTATTTCCTAAAAGAATTAAAAACAAAAATAGTGTTCGTAAAAATTCCAAACGTTCCTTGCGTGCAAGGCACTGCAAACTCTATTCAGGGGAGATAATAGAGTTTCAAAACTTTACAATTGCTCCAATAAACCAGTGAATGCAAGCGAGGAGCGATTAGTTTCAGAGTGTTGCACTGTCTTTTTCTGTTCGAGTGTACTCCTACGTTTATTTTGCATCATCAACACTCTGCACGTTGGAGTGGACTATTTAATTAGTTATTATGCCGAATATTGGTGGGGGGTTGAAAATTTTTTGGAGGGGTGAACATTTTGTTTGGGGGGGTTATAGCTAATATTGGAGGGGTAGCACCCACCTGCACCCCCCCAGAAAATCCGTCTATGTTAGGGACTCTTAGACACAGAATAAGGACCTATACTAATACTCTTAGACAACAAAATTGGATGTCAATTTATGTCAAACAATGCATGGGGCCTGGGAATAGCAGTTGTGATGACGTCACAGGGCCGAAGGCTGCTGATTGAACCAGTGTTGAACGTATTCAAGTAAGATCATGGATGGTAAGATGAAGGGACAGTCGCATTACTACAAGATTGTTGACTGGTTTTAGCAGGTACGTTCTTGTCTTTTCTACATACTACAACAACTGCAAACAAAATATAAACCTTGAATAAAGTAATGAAATATTTCCGACATTAATCGGTCAAATATCATATATGGAGGACGACGTATACTGAATATCAATTATTTTCTTCTAACTAAAAATATCCTACATTTTGGATTTGAAATAAGAACATTATTAAGGGCACATGAAGGAAGATGATTTACAGTTGTTGTGTGTCAAAATCAACGAGAAACGGCATTGTTTGAAGTATTAAAAGCAGATCAGTGTGATATAAAGGACATGTAACGACGTTTGGCGACAACTCTAATTCAGTCAAATCGTAATGTTATGCTTTCTTTTCAAACTAACATGACCTCTAGTTACCAGTTAACAACATAATGACCTTTAACTGTCGCCGACAATGATTTAAACTAAATATTTCTTGAGAAAAGCGATATTTATCAACGGTTTTCATGTGAAATGCGATCAGCCATCTTCCACGAAAACGAACGATTTCTGGGAACTCATGATGGTTCCTGGTAAAACAGGAAGGATATTGTCATCACTAAAATCGCGACACAAAGTTAAACTGTTTTACGACCCACTCGATGTTCGATAAGTCTCAACGAATACACATAAGCATATGAGGAAAACAATATTTTCGGATATTTTTTGCGGTTTAAACAAAATATTACGACGCATGGAGTCAATTATGGCTCTCGTGCGGGTCATGTCGTGGAACGGAATCGACCACACGAACTTTCAAACAATGCTCTAAAACAAAGCAATGCAGCAATGTACAAGGTTAGTTTAGTTCTATTTGTATTTTTGCTCCATTTCGAAGTCCTGACTAGGACCTGTTTCAAAAGTCGCGCTTCTCATCTACCGAACGCATTAAAAACAATAGATAATCAGCTGAAATGCCTCATTATCTATTGTTTTTAATGCGTTCCGCACATGAGATGTGCGACGTTTGAAACAGGCCTAGGTCTCATATATCAAACCATATTTCGTTCTTTAGAATTAATTTTTATTTAATTATTCATAACTGATTATGAATCACGCAAAGGCAAGGTAATCACTGCGTTTCACGTAATGATTACCGTAATATAGTCAGTCATCAAACAAAACTAAAACTATTGTTACTTTAAAAAACATAACAGGTTTACATTTTAAAAACATACAAAGAACTTAGTCTTAGGTTTACATTTTCTCGAACATTAAATGTAACTATCAAAATATTAAATTATACTTAGTTATAGTCTAATATGTTGAGATATATTAAAGACGAGTTTGTATAATAGACGACACAGGAAGCTTAAACTGGCAATGTTTCCTTAAAACAAATATAATGTTTCAACCACTGGACAACCCATTGTATAGATTTAAACATCGTTAGAAAATAGAAATCTCCCACAGAAACTGGGAAACTAATGTCCTTGTTTACATTGTATATGTCCTCTCATGCACAAACTCGTCTTGAAATATCTCGACGTCTATCGTAGTTTTCTCTTTATTTTCTTACATATTATAAAACAATAGAAGGTCTGGGAACTAGCGTCCATTTTGATATAATGCGTTGCTTTCCCACACCTTCTGCGGTTTCATTTTCAAGTTTTAAAACTCCTCAATAAGAGAATACAAATAATATATGGCCATGAGCACAAAATTTAGAAGGATGTGCTCCTAAGATTGTGTTCTTTATTTGAAGAACTGTTTTATTAGTGGGGAATGCAGGGTCAAACTATCTGAAAAGTACAAGATAGTTTGACCCACAATCCTTCACGATTATTTGTTCATTACTACCTACACTAGAACCCCGCATAACCATTTGCGTAATAGACTAAATTTTGATCTCAACAAAAATTTCATCACAGCTTGAAAGAGCATCACAAAATTAGTAATATTCCAAAGTTTCGTTGCAAAATGTTGTAAAATGCGGAAAATATAGCCTTGCGAAATTTGCAATTTCCAGTCATTTTTTATTACAAACGGGAAATTGACAGCCCGATACGCTTTGAGGCTGTCAATTTCCCGTTTGTAATCTAAAATGACTGAAAATTGCAAATTTCGCAAGGCTATATTTTCCGCATTTTACAACATTTTGCAACGAAACTTTGGAATATTACTAATTTTGTGATGCTCCTTCAAGCTGTGATTGTTTAATTCAAAATTTAGTCTATTACGCAAATGGTCAATTAGATCCCACATTTTTGCCAATCAGTAGTTTGGCTCTATTATTTAAACAAACTGGGTGTTGTTGGTCAGAAAATGTTGAATCTAATCCTAAAGAACCACGATAGATTTCTATTTCAAACATGAGGGTTCAGTGTAGGTACTATTCTACATTAAGTTGTGTTGGTTTTGGTCTGACCTTCCTGAAAAAGAAACTGCGACGTTCAGAGCGAACGCCCTTCGTCAGGAAATTTTAGCCAAACTCGATCTTACCAGTGTCGACTAACTTGCTAATAAAAGGGCCTTTGCTTCAAATGTCCAACTATTTTCTCAGGTAGTAAACCTTAAGTACCGACAACATGCTTTCAGTCACAAAGGCAAAATACTCGTGTTTTTGTACCATTGTGTACCTTTAACATCAAGCCCAACCAAGGATATTATGATATTACGTCATATCAGTTCGTATAATGAGGATAGGTGTACTTTCATATCAACTTGTAGCATTCAAAGTCCCTCAGTGTACATTCATATCACGTGGCTCTGATGTGGGTAATGGCTTTCTCGGCTAACTCTTCTCTTCTCAACAGTTCCTTCAGTTTGTCTTCCCCGTCAAAATCTCGATAAAGAGCGACGACATTCGTAGCACGTCTTGTACGGAGCTGTTCCAGAGCGTGAACCGAGGAGGGTTGATCCAGCAGAACAACTAGTTCACAGTGAGGTAACTCTTCATCAATATTATCTGTTGAAACGATCACTTGATATTGACGACGTTTTATCGCCGAGATCACTGCCTTCTGTTGGTGAGATCGTGATCCTAGAAAATCGGAGAATGCAGTTTTTGAAGGGGTCCTTGTGTATAAACATGGATAGTAAAATAAATGGATAGGACACTAGCTGACGTGACCTAATGTGCTGATGGCGTGGTTGGATCATAGGTAGCCCAACAATCAGTGGTATTAATTCATTTCTGTTCAATAAAATCATACTACTACTTAGTCCCCGACTCCATTGTTTACGCGCGGTCAGATCATGTACGTATCCCTATAGTAATACGCGTAAACAATGCAGTCGGGGACTAAGTAGTAGTATGATTTTATTGAACAGAAATGAATTAATATCACTGATTGTTGGGCTACCTATGGTTGGATGTTGAAACCTAGTTGCAAACAAAATTCACAAAAACGGCATATTTAGAAATAATACAGCTAAACATTTTAGTCAAAGAGCAAATAAATATAACTACGCCATTCTACAATGAAATCTTTAAGTACTTCCAGTCAATTTTAGCAAATATTTCAAGCACTAAACAGTGAAAAATGCATCCCAAATTTCGTTAAAATTGGTTACGCCAATTTCGTAGCCACAAATGTAAAAAAATACAAAACAAAGACGAAAAACATTTACCTTGAATACTTTGTCGTGGCTTAGGCATGTTTTTAAAACAATTAGACCAGTTTATGCTTCAATATTACTCTTTTAAAGTGGAAATATAGCGAAACAACAAAAAAGCCGAGAACTTTGGCAATACGCGTAACATCACAGATTGCAACTAGGTTTAGACTGTGATGTCAGCTAGAGTCCTGTCCATTTATTTTATTATCCATGGTATAAATGTTAATAAGTCGACACAATGGAGAACAGTGGGATTTTTATAACAAAGAAAAAGACAATGGAACGTCCCGATAACTGGCGCTACTTTTGTTTAGTGTTATACAAAGGCGGCTGTTGTACCCCACTACGTTTTTATGTTATAGTTGCATGAAGATAAGTTGTTTCGTTTTGTGGAAAACACCACGCTGCTTTATTTCACAAATCATAATCCAGTGTAGGTTGTTAATAAACCAGACTTACGGGTCGAAGATTTGAGGAATGAATAAACGTGCTGTTTTACCACAAATACAAAGCAATACCCCTACCGGAAGTACGTCACTTTGGCTCGAAATCCTTGTTTTCGTGATTGAGATGTTAGGCTTAATGCCACATACTCGAAAACGAGGCTCTATAGGCAAAATGACGTAATTTCCGTGAGGGTTTAATGTAGATTTCTGATGACATAGTCCCCCTATACCGCTCAGTAAAACTTGTTTGAGATTTTTACGTTATCTCAGGAGCAGTATAAACTCAAGAAATGCAAGGCTGATTAAAACAGTATGGTCAGTTCGGCGACCTTTCATCAGATGGGACTACGCGAGCACCTGATATGAAAAATGAAACAACACTTACCATCAACAAAAGTCGTCTTCACATTTCTCTTCATCAGCTGTGGACATCGTGCTAAATAGTTTGCCAACATGTTGGCTGTCTTGTTTAGTTTCACAATCACTAAAGCCAGCGGTCGTTCCGACGAGACACGCGCATTCTCCCACCGTATTATCATCAGTTGATCCAGGAGTTCACGTAAGCCAGAACCACGAGGGTTAGAGAGATTGAAACCTTCACAATAATATCAAGAAATGCTATAGTTTTGGAAGAAGGTTGTTCACATCAATACTACCACTGGCTACTGATTATTTATTTAATATCTAAATAACTCATTTCAAATATCTAAGCTACTGATCATTTATTTAATATCTAAATAACTCATTTCAAATATCTAAGCTACTGATTATTTATTTAATATCTAAATAACTCATTTCAAATATCTAAGCTACTGATTATTTATTTAATATCTAATAACTCATATCAAATATCTAAGCTACTGATTATTTATTTAATATCTAAATAACTCATTTCAAATATCTAAGCTACTGATTATTTATTTAATATCTAAATAACTCATTTCAAATATCTAAGCTACTGATTATTTATTTAATATCTAATAACTCATTTTAAATATCTAAGCTACTGATAGCCTGCGAACAGGCTCTCAAGCTGAATTGAGAGCCTGCATCGATGACTAATGAATCTGAATATCTGCGTCTCAAATCGTGACGCGAAATTCTCATTGGTCAGATGCTATAATTTATACGTTTCCGCTGAGCTCTATATATGTCAACTGCTGAAGCACTATGCATAAAAAAAACACATTAACTGATCAAATTGGTCTTGGCCGTCTTATCTCAAAGCACGAAATGTTCTGTTTTGAGAAAACAGTATTTAAAACATTCGAACTTTTGCTTGAATATCTTATATTTCGAAAAACAGTATAAACTGTACGGTCTAAATTTAGTTTGCACGGTCTAAATTTAGTTTGAACGAAAGTTGTAAACAACACCATATAAGGATAGACATTCCATATTTGGAAAAACGAACGTTACGGGGCAGATATTCAAATTCATTAGTCACCGATGCAGGCTCTCAATTCAGCTTGAGAGCCTGTTCGCAGGCTAAGCTACTGATTATTTATTTAACATCTAATAACTCATTTTAAATATCTAAGCTACTAATTATCTACTTAATACCTAAATAACTCATTTCAAATATCTAAGCTACTGATTATTTATTTAATATCTAAATAACTCATTTCAAATATCTAAGCTACTGATTATTTATTTAATATCTAATAACTCATTTTAAATATCTAATATCGTACTGTACTACGACTGCTTGAAAGTATTAAAACTGATTTACCTCGCTAGTGCAAAATTTACTAACTGCAATAAATACATCTAAAAAACTAAAGTGCAAATAAAGTAATTCAAGGGAGAATCTACCTCGTTATATTTTACTAAACTAAAACTAAAATATATAATATATGTGGTTGTCAGTGCAGTTAGTAGCTACCTAAAATATGTAGGGATAAAACTTACCCAAGTTTGAAATGTCTTTCTCCATCAGTTGTCGAGATAACTCGAACCCAGGCAGCCCAACGTCATTGGCCCAAGCAAAACCAAAAGGTTCGCGTGTGAGGTTCACCAACAGCTCCTTTGCGAGGTCTTCACCACACTCGACTAGAGAAAAGATCACTTCACAAATTGCAAGATAATGTCGCCAGGTTTTTAAACATGACTGAGGAAGACGTTTCTCTGGTGGCTGACCTGTTAGATGAATCAACTTCGCAAAAGCGTCACTCATCACCGAGCTCTCCCTTAACGACATCTTTAGAAGTTCTCTATAACTGTTCAAAGGCTGCCATTGAGCAGCTAAGTTGTCAAACACAAGTTTTAAATAATATACAAGAAGGAAAAGCATCCTTAATTCTTCTTCATTGAAACCTGTCTGAACACAAACAAACATGGCTTCGCGCTTATGTTCCTGGAGCTCCTGGATTGATTCCGAGACACAAGACAAGCAAACATCTCCCATTGTCGACAAAACCTCATTAAATGCTCGCTTCGTTTCTTCCAGGTTTTCCTGACCGGCTGAGGAATCAAGAAAACTGAGCAACTTCGGAACATGTCCGTCACGAAAGTCCATCTTAGCTTTCAGATAGTACTGAAGAAGGATCTTCTTTGACGCTTCATCATTGCAACACATGACAGAGTTGTCAAATATCAATAGACAAACATCCTTCCACGAGAGCGCACCACAGTTTAGTAATCCTAAACATGACGTTGACGTGATTACTACAACTTCCACTTTACCAATAGATTGCTTCAACTGTCCTGCATGTAAAGCAACATTCAATTTCTTTCGCTTATTCTTCGAGCCGAGCTCCTTACGCAGGACTTGAGCAACATTCAAAGCACTGACAATATCAGGGACAATAACTAAAGCATGTTTAGTGCGGTTTAAGATCGCCATATGTGCAATAACTTGAGCCATAACAAGATCTTTTCCAGTGCCACACGGCAGATAACAAATTGTGTCCTCTTGCATGGCAATCTGGTATAATTCTTTGTGATAAGATTTGGGTGTAGTGACAGTCAGATCGTCTAAGACCTCACTGGTCTCGGTTTTCAAGGATAAAGGTGGTGATGATCTGTTGTGTTGTTTGTTATGTGAACTTTGAGTAACTTTAGCATTCATCTCGTCGTTATTCATACTTTGCCAAAAGCCGTTGCGCTTATCAGCCTCCATATAACCATTCTTCGGTAAAAACGTTTTAGAATTGCGGAAACCGTTTGGAATTCTAGCACAATTCCCGTTCTCTTTGGGAGAAATAGCAGAAACGTGGAAACCGTTTGGGACTCCATTCTCTGTCGGAGGAGAAACAGAGGTCATGAGGAATCCGTTTGAAACAATAGAAGCAGCAGTGTGCATATAACCGTTTTGAACTCGATGGTTGTTTTCTTTCGGTGGTGTTGGTGTTCTATTCCTGGATATTTCGCATCCTTCGCTTTGCACCGGACTTCTTCTTTTACGTCCCTCGCCAATAACCCCAACATTGGTTCGTGTTGAACCCGCCAGCCGCCATCTTTGATCGCCATCCTTGACTATAACATTACGTTCGAGCAGTTTTTGTAAGATAAAGCGAAGTGTAGCCTCATCTCTGAAGTCAAGTTTTGTCTTAATTTCGTGCACAGAAAGTGAACCACATTGTTGAAGCACATTCACTAGGTTCGACTCAATAACATTGACGTAGGGACGAACATCGCCGGGTGTTGTTGTTGTAGTGCTTATCGAACAAGAAGCCAAAATGGCCGCCGTCAGCGTGGTGTATGCTTCGCTTGTCAAGAAATTATTTTGCCCGTTTTGATTAAAATAGGAGTCTTTCGATGTTTCAAAATATTGCGCCTGTTTCGGAGATGGTATAGGTATTTTCTCTGCGTGGGAAAATCCATTCAATGTTTTATGAGATTGTTTGGAGGGACTCATGGATACGGTACAGTCTGTACTTCCTACCAACGACCACAAAATAGGGGCATAGCCTGACTTTGCGACTAAATGATGTTTTTCCAAATCACTTAGTATCAAGTTCACATCGCTAGGTGAAAGTCCCGCAATATCTATGGCAATATCTCCTGAAGAAATGCCTTCACTACTAGCATGTCTTAAAACATGCATTACCGCTTGTGTTTGCATGAGAAGTTCGCTTTGAGCGCTCATAGACTCGGTGTTAGCGGGAGGCAATGTAGGGTTGTACGTTGTGTTTAAATGCTGAAAATTTCCCTGAGATTCCCACAAGCTATCCAATGCTGTGTTTTCTATAACCTTCGAACGATTTTCGCCGTTGAAATATGGAGTAAGGCCATTTGGCGGTAGCAAAGTTGATTCGACCACTGGTGGTCTTCCCGGAATCGTAATTTGAAGAACTTGGTTTATCGGGCTGTCAGGGTTATCAAAAGAAAAGAAGGGTTCTATCGACGTTTCGGGACTTGATGAATTTGAAGAACTGAGAGAACTGAGAGATTTGCCATTGACTATAAACAACAACGAAGGGAAAAATAATATTAAGTAAACAGAGTTTTTAAAACATGTCTGTTTGTATAAATTCAAGGCGATATATCAATTATGGAAACTTTAAACATTTTTGTTCCTAGAGAATTTAGAAAACTAATACATAAAGAACAGAAATGATTTAAAACTATACGCAAGGAACATTTCATTGTTCAATTGTTGAAGTCCTTTCCAAGGTATTGACTTTC